TAACAATTTGTAAAACAAAATAAAATCAACCAATCCTTCTGGGATTTTAAAGAAAAAAAATACTCAAATTATAATAACGTTCAGCTAGTTTAACAGTTCAATAAAATTTAATGATATAAATTATATTGTGAAGTTAAACTAAATAAAATAAACACAATTTGCATTCAAAATAATACTTAAAATATTATAGGATCATAAAACAAGTAGGTATAACTACTTAGAAGTTAAAGATTTGTAAAATTCATGGTAAGTAGTTGGAATAAGACCCATTTTACATAACGACAACAAGTCATTGTTTTTACTTTGCTTTATCAATTGCAATTTTTTCAGTATACGCTTGTACAGGTAAACAACGAGACTGATATCTGCCCTTTTGTTTTTTTTGTTTTATATCTATTATAATAAAATCTGGTGATGTCAGGTTATATTTTATACTAAGAATAAATGGTTTATCATAGGTGACCATTATTTCTTTGATACAGTTCCATCGAATTTGGCAACCATCAACAGTTTTAGTCCAATTGTATGACTTATCTTCAACAATTGGCTTGAAGTTCAAAAAATCTTCATTTGATACTTCGGTTACTAGGTATGGTTTGCCAGTGACTTTCGCACACCTCACCAAGATTATCCATTGAACAGGAACATAAATAGTTTTTCCTTTTTTGGAATTCTCAATACATGCATGCATGGAATCCCCCTCGTTTTGAGTATGTCCTCTTTCAAGGAATCGATGAGTAATTTTAACCTTTAATGTGAAAGCAGCATACTCCCACATAGAAAATAAAAATCTGTTCCGATTTTGTCCTCCACAATTATCGGAATAGAAAATAAATTCGGTTACTCCATCTTTTTTCATCATCGTTATTTATTATTAGCATCCCTTTTGGCCTCAGACTCATTCCACATAAAACAATATCCTAATTTTCTTGCAATGTCAAAGATGGTAAAGTTATACGTAGCAAACTTCCTTTTATAGTAAAAGTTGCTCACCTCTCCTTGTGGAGTGGTTAAAACCTTTTCCAAATCGAAGGCTGATGCACAAAAAGCTCTTGTCTGACTCAGTTTTCTTCTGATCACTCAAAAACATAGCTTTAGCTTTTTCTTTTAAATTGATATGACAATTATATTTTTGAATCTCTTCTTCGTTGTTATTTACATTTTCATTTTTTTTTTCACAAATCTTACATTTGTCTTTCTTTGGTAAATGGAAGCCAATAGAGTATTTAGTTTTAAAAAAACGACGAAAAACTAAAGATGAAATAGGAAATTCATTTTTTTTTGTTCAATAATCTTTATAAATTAAGTATAAATTTGCAATATTTCTAAACTCAGTTGGTAGGTATTTTTTGTTTGACTTATTGCGACAATAGTGTGATGAAACAGCTGGTAAACACCTGATAAATTTATCCACTATTTGTAACTGTTCAGGACTTGTTTTATTTCGAGGAGTATTATAACCACGTCTATCTTTTTTAGCAGTGTTCACAGGTGACTTATTCAAATGGGTATATCTTAAAAGTTTTTGAGGGACATCTAATGTCTTAAGAAGAAACTGCTGGCATACTTGAACTTCAATAGAATTATGTTTTAAAAAATATTCATTTGTCACTGATCTTCTACTTTCACTAATTGACCTTTTTCTTTTTATTTGTACTTGTTTCATACATGACAGTAAATAATCTCTTCTACGTTCATGATCTAATTCCCAAAAAAATTTAAAAATATCCTCTCTTTGTGATTCATCAAACTTTTTTGAACATTTATTTTGACACAGTTTTGCACATGGGTTGGGTTTTACACTTTTTCCTGTTCCATTTATTAAGTAGTTTTTTAAAACTTTTCTAGTAGTACCTTTTTTAGGTTTTTTACGGCCACTTCTTCCAACTACATTGTCATCACTAAAACTTTCATTCAATTCTATTTCATCTGGTTCATACGGGGCATCATGAGATTCAGATATTATAGAAGCTTCATTCACAGTCATATTATTCATTTGAAGATTTGAGTTGTTAATTATACTATTATAGTCTAACTCAGTCTGATCAATTTCATGAGTATTAATGCCAGTGCCTGATACTGGCACCATCAATGCAGTGTGAAATAAATTATTACCTTCATTGGAAACACCATCATTCTGAATTTCAACAGTATCACCAAATGAGTCTAAGTAGCGAAAATCCATGCTTTCAAGATCACTTATCGTAAGTATTGGTCTATCCAGAGGATGATACATATTATTATTAATATTCCTGTTAATATCATTGACAGCATCATTCTCTGCAGCAAAAATATTATGTACATTTTCATCTAATTAATAAAAGCAAAACATGATAATATCATGTTAATAATAATATAATATAATATAATATAATATAATATAATATTATTATAGGAAACATTAAAAAATAATGAGTGTATAACTAACAATACCTATAAAAGTAGACTAACACAATTGGATTTGGTAATGAACATTTTAGCATTAAGTGCAGTATAAAATAAATAGTAAATGAAACATTTAAAATAGGTACTAACTGTAATAATATAATGTTATTTACTTTATAGATATATTATTAAGAACAATAAAATCATAATAATATATTATAATAAAACAAATCAATGCCAATAGTTAGTTAACTTTGTGTTAACATGTTGAACATACCAAAGTATCCTGAGTGATCCAAATTTTGATTACATTCATCATTGTCTTGTGTACTCAAATTCTGTACATTTGAATTATCATGAGTAATACAAATGCTATCATCAGCTAAAAGTATTTGACAAATAGTTTAATCATAATAATAATATGACTAGAAATCAAAAATTAAATTAAAGATTATTCCAAAATCTTACTTGATGGTATTGTATTCAAATTGTTCGCAGCAAACAACATTTTTCGTATTCGAGAACGTGATGTTCCTGATGTGAATCGTGACAACATTTTTATTATACGAATTACAGTTGTAAAAATATAAGAAGTAGGTAAAAAGCAGGGTAAAAAGTAAATTAAATAATGTTGTTACACAATATAAGCTCATCAAATGATTTTTCACCGTTTTAAATAAATTCTATAAGTAATTATTAATAATATTATTGAAGATAATAGATAAACAATATAATATTATGAAAACAATCGTAACCAACATGATGTTACGAACGAATTTCTAAGCGCCAATTAAGTTGTCGCATACGCCTGATTAAATAATTATTATTATTTTGTCGCTTACCACATGCAACAAAGTCGCTTACGTATTTTTTTCGAAATTAATGTGACTTGCGATTAATTTTTAAGTTATTGCCTTAACGACATGTCGCTTTCGTCCAATCTTTAAATGGCAAAATGACATGCTTAAGTTTATATTGTCGCTTAGCCATTTTACAGATCGATGCGTCTGAATTTTAGAAAAATTTTGATACCAATATCTCATTTTCGCCAAAATTGTCGCTTACGCTATTTTACCTAATAAGGCTCGATATATTTATTAGTTTACTAGTAAATTAGTATTACTTTTGACAAAATTCTTCAAATTTACTAACATTTGTAAATTATTTTAATTTAAAACAAACAATAGTAATAATAATATTATAATAATAGGATATCAACTTACTCCTCATTTTTCGGCGTGTCGTTTACATCATCATTACTTGATATTTCTAATAACGCGGTTTCATCTTCTCCTGCTATTGATGTGTACGATATATTACAAGTCGAATTATGTAGATTATCAACTGTATTCTCTACAGTATCAATACTAATACTCTATAATATTATATGACAAACAAAAAAATTAATGAAGTATTGTATAGTTGGTGAATATTAGGTATACCTAATGAATAATGTTTTATAGGATCATCATTCATAATATAATAATAAATGAAACTTAAAAAAATATTTATAAAATTTACAATCAACTTTTTTTATATTTCTATACTCAAAATTTTTAAACGAGTAAGCAAAATAATGTATTGAGTTTACAATGATGTATGTGTTTTTTTCTGTTTTTCGTATACATTTGGGATATAAGGCTAATAAAAATGCTAAAAAATTTCAGAATTTAATATGACCATAAACAACTGAAAACGAGTTAATATTTTTTGAAAATTTGATCAAGTCTAGGGATAAAAAAAATATGGTGTACATTTCAAGTGTCTGCAGTAAAGTTATTCGTATTTGAATGATATCAAAGAAAATTGATACATATATTTTCATTTCTTAGATTTAAATAGATACATTTTTATGAATTTATAACTCAAAATAATTTTCAAATTTTTGTGATTTTTACGATATGAATAAAGAAGGTACTTTTAAAAATATATTATAGGTATACTATAAAAATACGTTACTGTACTATTATTGATTAATTGTGATTATTTAAAAAAGCGTGCAATTTTTAATGAGCGTTGTAAGTTGGAATTATGGTGAAAGTCATAAAAATGTATTATTATATAACCTATATTTAAATCTAATATATCGTTATTTTACGCGATTTCGTAAAAATTTAAATTTCCTACGCTCATAAATTTTTTTCTTTATTGATGCTAGAATTTTGTTTACAATTACTTGAAGGACAACTTATGGGTAAACTTGTAGGTATTGGGTTTTTTAATATTAGGTATAATAACAAAAATATGGATTTTCCTTTTCAAAGAGAGGTTGAAGTCAAAAATCAATAGCATTATTTCTACTCAAAAACGTTATAAAGTTGTTATAAGTAAAATTTAAAAAAAAATTAAGCGTAAATCCACTAAAGTTTTTATGAAAACTATGATGATGTCAGTGACGTAGCCAGGATTTTTTTTAGGGGGGGGTTTTTTTTTGTAATAAAATGTAACTTGTGGAGGATTTCACACTTCCTGAATTGTACTCATAAATTGTTTAAATAAATTATAATATACGTTTAACTTTTAAATATTTATTTAAAATAATTTTTTTTCTTTTTTTACAAATACATCTAAAATATATTAAACAAAAAAAATAGTATTTAATAACATATTATGTTTTATAACAGTCTAATGCGGCGACTCTTTCTGGCCATACTTTCAATAACTTCTTCAACTGTTACTTTTACATCACGGTGAATATTCATTAATGCTAACCCGTTCAGTCTATTTTCAGTTATTGTGTTCCTGAGATATGTTTTCAACCGTCTAAGTGTTGAAAATGATCTTTCACTAGTAGCAGTGGTAACTGGTAAAGAAGCTAAAATATTTAAGAGTGTGTATATTGAAGGGTATATGTTTTCGTTACATTCGGCTAAAGCAGATACAACATTTGTTATGGGTTTTGATTTTATTTGCTGTTTCCATAATGAAAATTCCCCCAAAGCTGAATGGATATCAGCTTCAATATCAACTTCATAGGTTTTCAAAAGTACCTTAAAACATTCATCACTATTTTCTTTATCTTTCACCAAACAAAGAAAATTACTCAAAATTGATTTGTGTGCTAAAAATCTGTCATTCAATTGTTGATTAAAACTATCCAAAAAAGGAATATATAAAGAAACTCTATAATATGACTCAGCTGAATCTGTGATCACATTTGTTCTATGCTCTTGTTTGTTTGCTAACCTAGGGACTTTTATACGTATTGATATCAAACTTTTCAGATTTTTTTAATACATCATTATATATATTTTTAATTTGTTTTTCAGCTTCAGCTCTTCGTTGAGTAGTTATCTCTATTACATTTTCTGCAAGTTCTATTGCTTCAGTGAGATCTAAATGTTCATCTTGTAATTTTTTACTTAATGGTAAACTTACTGAAAAAACATTGACAAGAATAAAAATACAAAGAAACTCTCCTTGTTTAATTGAACAGAGTAAATTACTGGCTTGAGATGATGTATCCCTGTCATTCCATGAAGAAATATTTTCTAATGATTCTACAATATCATCGTATAGTTCTAAAAATACTAACACTGCTTCTACTAACACGTGCCGTTCAACCCATCTAGTTGGGCATAATTTTTTAAGCTTTTTCTTTCTCGTATCTGCAATACATTTATCAATAGCCTTTTCTAAAACATCTTGTCTTTTAGGAGTCCTCAAAAATACACAAACAGCTTGTAAGGTTCCAGTTGCGTTGCGTATAGGTTTCAAATTGCAAGCGTCTGATATACATAAATTAAGTGAATGTGAACTACAGTGTAAATACAATGCTAGTGGATATGATTCTTTTACTATTGCTTGCACTCCGTTAAATTTTCCTTGCATTGCAGATGCCCTTGACCACGTAGAAAATCTAAATTAATACCTATACTTTGTAGGGTATCCAACAATACTTTAGCCAAGCTTTTTCCACTTACATCTACCACTGGAACAAATTTCAGAAAGTCTTCTCTTAAAGTTTTTGTTTCTTTATCAAAGTAGCGTACACACAAACTAAATTGTTCAACACCGGAAATATCACAAGTCTCGTCAGCCAGAACTGTGTAACATTTATACTGATTAATTTTACATACTAACTTATTAATAATAATATGGTAAATTGTATCAATTATTTCATTTTGAAATTCTGGACTTGTATACATGGCATTCTTTTTACAATTTTGTAAATGGTTTTTAAGTATTAAGTCACCCCCACTTACACGATATCTTAAGAATGCTCTGAAATTTCCATCGTTTTCTGTAGAATATAGTTCATCAGCCTGAAAGTGACCACTATCTTTATGACCTCGTAATGCCAATCCTTGACGCCCACACAATATAATAGTCTCTATAATTGGACGTAATATTTGCCTATTTTGTTCAATTTCTAGTTTTAGGTTGTTGTCTAGTTGAACGGCAATATTATTTTGTTGTTTATTAAACACTGATAAAAATCCATCAACCTTTGAAACAGCAGTTAAATGATATTTATTTTTTTGATGTTCATTAAATTTATCAATCGCATGGGACCAATCATCAAATTTAGTTACAACAAACTTCCCAAGTTTTTGAGAACAAACTTCTTCAGGACCAAATGAAATGCAATATTTACAGTAAACACCATTATCAGATTTTGAATATGCCAACCACTTCCATCGATCAAGCCATTAATACTGAAATTTTAGATTTCTTTTTCCAGTTGCAATAAAATGGTAGGATGGTTCTGGATACCAAGTGTTCGTTAAAATTTGATATATTTGTTCTGAATCAATCTGCACAAATTAAAATTATATTTTAATAAAATTATACTTATTGCTTAATAGGTTTATATAGATGGTTGCATACACTTATTTTTAATTATTTAACTATTTACCTAACTATTTAACTATTTAATATTTTTTATTTTTCTTCCATCAAATATTTATTTAAATTGTTTTTCTTATCAAATAAAAACTGTCAATTGTAAATAATATTTTTCTAACCTGCTTAGTAGTAGATCGATTAAATAATCCAATATCAAACTTGTTCAAACAAATATTCTCAGAATTTTTTATATTTAAATTTCTTGAATTTGTATTATCTGATGAAATGTCTTGATCTTGCACATGCTCTAAAGCTGGTATTACAGTAAGCGTCTAATATAATTTAAAAAGCAATTAAGTAAAAAGCAATAGAGTTTATAGGTAATAATTAATAACTCTATTAAAAATATATAGCATTAGCTTTTATTATGACATTTGTGTATAATTTGTATCATAAAACACATCATGCTCATTTAGTATATAATTATCAACCAGAAAAAATAAGCAAATGCATACAAATTTGTGCTCTGCCTAGTAGCATTCAATTTAAGCGATAAGCTATTTAGATATTTAAGTCTTAAGCAGTATAATATAACTCAAATAAAATTACCTCATTGTTTTCTGCTAAAGGTTCAGATCTACTTTTTTTCTGGAAATAGGATACAATTGTAATTTTTCTTTTTTTTGAAGAATCCATAACAACAATTGTCAATTAGCAAAATATTAAAAATTATTATAAAAACTAGAGAAACATCCAAACATGTGTCCATGTATTTTATAATGATAATATTGTTCTGTGATAATATTCATATTGATAACAACTAGACCGCAGAACTGTAGATAAATCTACAACCATGGTAAATTAATAATAAAATAATTGAATGATAATGATTATTATCATCAGTGCAGTCGATAACGTAAATTACACAATATGATGGTGTAGTGTAAATATTATCTGCACGAATGCAATAATACGACACTGTGTGCACTATGCCACTATTTAAGATAAAGTTTATCTTAAACCGTGGTAGTGTGTGAATACGGCATAACAGAATACATTTTACCACGACCAAATGATTGTATTCCTATATTATAAACATAATATTTTTGATATAAATACGGCTGAGGGGGAGGGTTATAACACCCAAACCCCCCCCCCCCTGGCTACGCCACTGGATGATGTTGAACAGTCTTCATTATCATTGCTGGGCGCTGGCTTGCTGCCTTATGTAACACCACTAAATTAAATAAATGTTTTTATAATTACCTGAACATCACAGTTATGATCTTCGTCACTTTTTTTTTTTGTTGATTGTAAATTTTTCAATCTATATTTTTTCAACTTAGGTGCACTTAACTTGCACCTAGTTTTTCGGCCAAAACGCCAGTACTTACCCATTGGAAAAATAATAAAAAAAAACACAAAACAATGGAAGCTTACAAACAACTTTACTGATCGGAGTGTTCGAGTGTAGTGTTGAAATCAAATGATTCATATAGGCACCAGGCGGTATATAGATACTTTATATTTAATATATATAACATTATATATATTTATTTATATTTTATAATATAATATGGGTTGTATTAAATTATGGAATAATATAGTTATTATTGATTATTATTATCCATTAGTGATTTTCCTATACCTATCCAGTAATCCTTATTCCTTATCCGCTAATTGTTTCCAAGAATCGATGTCTCGCCGCACCGAGCAACCGCCGCGCCTCGCGCCGGAAGCAACTCTTAAGGTCTATTTACACATAACCGTTCCGTGTCCGTTCCGTAACCGTACTGTCCGTTCCGTGTCCGGCGCTTAAAGTTTGTTTACTTATTATATAATGGGTATGTTTATACATGTCCGTTCCGTGTCCGTTCCGTATCCGCATCGTCCGTGTCCGTATTTTAAAATTAGTCGGAGACAATGTTTTTGGGGATTTCACTGATACGGATATGGAAAATACGGAACAATGTAAACAGTCATCCGATTTGTTTTTGTGACAGTCTGCACTTGGCGAGCTTCAGCTGCACATATCCAGTGACTTGCAAGTGACTTATTTAAATTAAAATTTAATCTAAATTTGACAAATTTGTTTTAAATTGATTATACCTACCGTATTATATTATTATAATTAATTAATTAATTAATTATTATTATATTACATTATAATTATTAATATTATTTAAAAATAATGAATATTGATGAAAAACTCATTGAGATGGTTCGGTCTCACGTGGAATTATATGATTTGTCACATGCGAAGTATATGGACAGTGGATATAAAGATGGTATTTGGTGTAGTATTGGAGATGAAATAAATTTAACAGGTAACTAAAATTATGATACCAAGGATTGAAAATTAAAAACAAGGTTTTTCGTAAGTAGTTAATATTATAACCAAAAAATGTAAAAATGTATTCTTATAACATTTTTTTATGATAGTTACCAAAAATGAAATCACAACTTTTTTTATAATTGTTATTAGAGTTTCAATTTTGTCAAAATTCATTAAAACCACGAAAAGCTGTAAACTATTTAAATAGTTAAAAATATATAAAACATTCAATTTAAATATTTGAGAATCAAAATCGAATACAAAAATAACGAAATTCCTTAGTTGATAAGTATACATAAAAAAATGTTTTTCACGCCTTACCAACAAAATATATTTGAAGTTAAAATTCGTTCTCATGGCAATATAAAATATCAAAAAATACCAATTTATAAATTAATTTTAGAATCCGCTCAGAATCAATTTTGAATATTATAATTTTTCATCGATGGGTTTTTTTTTACCATTAAGATTTTGATCGAATCAATGTTCAGATACTATTTCGAATACCTAATTTTGAAGATAAATTTTTTTTATACAATGATACAATTTTGTTTAGATTATTGATTATAGAAAATAAATAATAGGTACCTACTTATGTTTTATTATTTCATGCACGGAATGTATTTTATAACGTAAATATAGGTAATTACTAATTACTAATAATAATATGTATTACATTCAAAATTCAATAAATCAAGTTTAATATCAATGTGTTTTTTTTTCAAAACAAATCGTATCAATTCAAATATTAATACAATTGAATTAATAATATAGGTATATTATTTTAAATAATATTATTAATTAAATAATAATTATTGTACACTATTTTAAATTAGTTTACTTTATAGTTATTAGTTAATAATATCAAAGTATATAAAAGTATTGTCGCCGCCGTATCACCATTATATCTCGCCACCGACCGGCTCATATACACACACGCGCACAACACATTATTGTAATTGTTATTTATATTGTTTTATTTCTGTTTAATTGTACCGCGTGAATTATATAACAATGTAGATTATAAGTTAATTATCGTTGTCACCGCGCTGGCGGCGTGATTATTAATTACCACGGCCGCCGTGATTTTTTGTCTTCTTCCGTCCGTCGTCGTGAACGCTTACTATATATTGTATTTTTTTGCTGTGCGCGAATCGCCAGTTATATTATTTTTTTTTGTTTACAAGGCGTCAATTGCCTGTTATAGTTAATTATTGTAATTTTTTGTGTGCGCAAATCGCCGCTGAATATCATTTTTTTTTATATTTTATAATTTCTATTTTGTATTTGTGGGCGCGAATCGCCAAATTATTATTATTGTGCGTGTCGCAAATCGACACTTAATTATTATACTTGTAGGCGCTTATCGCCAAATTATTATTATTGTGTGTGTCGCAAATCGACACTTATTTATTATTATTTTTTAGCAAGGGTAGCGGCTGGCCAGCAGAGCACCGACGAACTGTGAGTTTTTCTGTATTTTTATTATTATCATTTATATGTTATACTTGAGTCAGTAATTCATATTTGTGTTTCACGAGTTACTGCTCAGATAGCTAACTATATTATTTTTATATTTATTTTATTCTGCCGAGCCTGAAGGGCCGCAACCTTTATATTTATATATTATTATTGTTGGGCCAGAAGGGCCATTTTTACTATTTTGTTGAGCCAGAAGGGCTATTATATAATAACATCCGCATAGCTCAAATAGTTACTGTGAGTTATTAATTGTTATACCCATATTTATGCCGCTGTGATTTCTTATTTTTGAATTATATTA